ATGGAGATAACGTCTTTCTCGACGGGATATACGTGGAGGTTGACCAGGCCGAGGCTTAGATTGGTTGTTGCCAGTCATGTTGTACCGCTGGATTGTCTTCTGGATTGTGCGACGTGAACAGCTGAATTCTTCTGCCAGTTCCTTGGTAGTACAGCCTGCCTCTGCCTTGGAGACAATACTATCCCTTTGGCGAACAGACAATTCACCACCTGGGACGCGATCTCCTGAAATTTCAGCTCCAAAAGCCCTCATTGTGGTTGTGCAGTAGCGGGTTGAAGTTGTGATGTTGGTCATTGCATTTGTGGTGGTTGGGGTTCGGCCCGTGCGCCGCGAACAGATTAATGCCTTAGTACAGTACCTCCCACATTTGCGAAGTCTTTGACTTGCGACCGACTTTTTCTGCTACCAGAGAGACAGAGAACATCCACGGGTTGTGACGAAACTGTTCAGCAACGGAGAAGAGTCTGCGAAGCTCTGGCATGAGGAGAGCAGCAGCAACAGCAAAAAACTTGTCAAAAAACATACAACAGCGGGTATTCGCTAGTGGTCACCCACCTAACTACTAATCTGCCGGTACGTTGCTTAAATAGGGCTGAGCGAACGGGAAGCCTTGTTTTCAACGTCCTATGGTCGTATATAAAAATAACTATTGATACATGGAATATATACTGATGAAATCGCCGTTCTTACGACGTTACTGCCGCCTCGGTCAGCAGCACATTTAGCGTTGGTCCTGCATGCTGTCCAGAACATTCTTGCTCCAAGTACAGCGGCACGCGTAGCGACATTGTCTGTCCTCCACTTTCCTCGACGCAGCCTGTCTGCTGCGAAAAGGAGTGCAACGCTGTATGGCGTTGAGCAAGGCCACCAACGTGCGTGTCCGCCAATTGTGGCGGCGCTACGACTGCTTCACGTCTTCTTCAGCCTTGCGCGAACAAAACCGCACGCTACTCGTCCAACGTCTTCACTTTGGTTTGGGAGACCAGATCGATCGCGATTGCCGCTGTGGTACTTATGAGATCAAATATCGTTCAGGCAGGCATCGCCTGCTCAGTGCTCGCCAGTATTGCACTCGAAGGTCCTGGCGTGCACATTCCCAAGCTTGCTGTATTCTCTATTATGCGAGCAGTCCCGCCAGCGCCATATGTATTGTTCCGACATATATGGTCTACCACGAACGCAAGGAACTGGCTGTTCTCGTGCCTTGCCGCCGTTCTATCAGTCACAACCATCTTGCAGTTCACATCGATGGTCTTACTTGCGGATGTTGATACTGGTCATGTCACAGGGTATGTTCGCTTATCCCATCTACAAGATCAAGTATAATTTGTTGCGGCATTGGTCGGTCCATACAAGACCCTATTACCCTTGCTTAGACTGTTATAGACTAGCACGTTCCAGCGTTAGTATATAGTCGTCTTCTCCTCCCTATATAGCAATTCAGCGCAGTATTCCATCGACCCGATAGTCCTACGTTATCGTTTACCGTAGCTATCAGTATACTACAGCGGACCACGCCGCCACATAATTCAATCCTCAGAAAGCTTGCACCTTATCCAATCACCATACCCAAAACTGGCGATATGTCCAATCCAAAATGCAAGACTGGTGTACGCTAATATCCTAATTTCGCCGAGTACAGCGAGGGCATGGTCGCGCAATTACCCTACCATTCAAATTTCCTAGGCACATACATACTACTCTGTCCAACGGAAACGAGCGATTCTTGCCCTCTTCCCTTATCTACAGCCACGTCAACGCACTTCTAGATGTCTTAAGCGTCCGACCAGAGCCCCTCCTATTCAGCTTCTTGCAGTGGGTCTCCCAGCTCGCAGATCCATGGTCCTTGCGTCACACCGTCTATGAATAGTATATCCATCCATGGACTGGCCACCTCAAGCTGTCGTGCGGTAGCATTTGTGAGCGGCATTGGTCTGAGCGTGACAGCGAACCTATTCAAGCCCTCCAATTGTTGGACTTTGACGTGAATGCCAATTGCCCGTACGACGTAACACATCTCCCAGCAGTTGTTGCTCAAATCCAGTAACCTGAGGTCCTCTCCACATTTACCAGATATCGAAGCTGAGTAGCTAAGGTAATACTGCAACCTCGTCTGTTTTTAGCTTTGGTCTCAACAAAATGTCCGCACTCTGCGCTGCAGATTGACGACTGCCCATGTCATACACGAAGTCGTACAGTCGTTGGAAATGATACAATGGTGATTCATGCTTGAGACCATTACCATAGATGACAACCACCTCGACCCTTCGTGACAATCCAACCGTGGCGCTGTGGCATAAGGTGTTGTGCAGCTCGTCATGAGAGTTGAAGTCGTAGCGTGAGATTGGTCTGTAAAGGTCGTGTAGGTTGCGATTCGAAGGTACGTCTTTAAAACGAAGTACAGAGTACAGATCGCACCGATCGCAAGCGCGTGATGAAGCAGCGCAACACAGCAAAGCTTCAAGAGCAAAGCCGTCTACGTCAGGCCACTGAATAACAATGCGCAGTGGCTCAGACTTGACCGATTCAACGTTTTTTGTGAATTAGCACGACAGCTTCAGCGTAAATCTCGCGGCAAGTAAGGGCTACGGAGAGACCAGCAACACTTTTGGTGATGATTATGGGCTTGATACGCTGGTGGCCTAGATTCCGGATGTGGATTTTCAGTGGCGCGTAACGAGAGACAAGCAGTCGTACACCATTAGGCGGATGTCTTTGGAAGGATCGAGGAAGCGGAAGGGTTGCTGGAGAAGTTTCCAGTCGGCGGGCTCGGACGCGCTGCCCGGCTCGGGGCGAGAGTCGTTTATCTGTGCTGTAGACTTGCCAGACTGTTTCAGGAGGTAGATGGTGCAGGCGGACGGAAGGTGGCAGCCATGGAAGACGAGGTTAGATATTAGTGCCTACCAAGCGCTAACCTCGCTCGGCGCGGCTGCAAGTGAAGGTGCGCAGTGGTTGCTCTTTGCTGTTCACCCTAGAACGTGGAAACTTGAAGACGCTTGCAACAATGTCCGCAAGGCTTGGTTGGTCTAATAGAGCCGGCGTCAAGGGTACCATTGTCAGCATTGGAGTAGTGAGGCAGAAAAGTGGAGGGTAAGCAGATGAGAATGCTCAATGTTGATTCTTAGGACTTTGTCAGCGACACATCACTGCTGCAGGAACGTGCAAATCAAGGTTTAGGCTTGGTGAGCCTCGCGCTGAACCCCTTTACCCTACTGCTCACTCCAAAACGGTTGGTGGACTTGACCGCGTAGCATTGTACGCTCGCTGCACATCTATGCGGCGACATGCGGTACTTGAATACCCAGCCCTTGGCTCTCCTTGCTGTCCACAACCTTCTCTGTCTTCTTCCCACCTAGACCGATGCCAGCTCGTCGCGCTCTCATGACAGCATGCAGACAGCGCCCGACACCCTCGAGGTCTCCTAGCAGCGTAACGTGTCCGCGGTCGCTCGATACCACGCCACCTCTTACTACTGAGTATCCTTCAGGCACCATGGCTGCGCGTGCAAGTACAACACCGTCTCCACTTGCAAATGCCAGCTCATCATATACATCAGCTCGTGCGATCGCTTCGCGGGACTCGACTTTGGCACCGTATACCGTTGGTGTCGACTTGCCGTACATGAGGGCGATCGGTGGGTATGCGTTGGCTTCGGTGTGCGTTGGCTCGTGGGCAAGCTCTTCCTTGAAGCGCTTGGTCTCTGCCAGGACTCGAGTGAGGTACTTGATGGCTTCATCGCGCGATATCGTGACTGCGGTTGCAGGGTTTGGATCGTTCGACGTGTATGTGGAGCGCGACATGCGTCGCCCTGCCATCATCTGAGGCTCCATACCACCACCTGCGGCTTCTGCATTGCCTTCTGCCACTTTGTTTGCTGCATTGTGGGCGATGTCTGCCGCACTATTGGTTGTTTCGCCGTTGCCTCTTGATATGCTACCTTTTCGACCCGGGAACGTTGGTAGAGCCTGGGACATGGCACTCAAGACACCGCTCACGCTGAAGCTACTATCCTTGGGTGGCTCTGGGCGCGGCAAGGGTGGCGCTATGCACGGCGACAAGCGGCCCTCGATCCATGTGTTGACGTCAAAGAAATCGACAGCATATTCCTCTTTCGTGTGCTTATTGATAAAGCATTTGCCATCGAGAGGTAGCAAGGCGTAAGAAGTGCGGATGCTAAAGTTTACCTGTGCCGTCAGTACACGAGACGAAAGCAGGACATCATCACCGTTCCGGAAAGGGCCAAGGATATTCACACAGTTCTGCGGTACACCGGCATATACCACGCCTGCGACAAGATCTGGTTGATGGTTGATGGCATGGCGAGTGATGAGGCCACCTAGGGAGTGTGCGAGTACGATAGCACCCCTCTTCTCGGGAGCAACGTTTGCTTGGTTGCAGGGAAGTGATTCAAGGAAATTGATCAGGCGGCGTGAGAGGAAGTGCGGCGACAACCGCCAGTCGTAACCGTAGTTGTGAACCCTCAGCTTTCCGTTTTTGAAGTTCTCGGATGCTCGCAGCCGCTTGAACAGGCGTTTTGAAATGTCAACAGGACCAATGTGTGTTAACATGCCGTCCGGAATGATAGTTTGCTCCATTCTCTCGTCTGCGCCTTCATCTAATGGCACCTCCAGGTCCACTTTGCGCAGATTGAGACCGACCTTGATGGGAACCCACAGCTGGCGGTTTGGAGGCTCTGCAGAACGCAAAATGGAGCCACGATACCCTCCAAGAATAACGAGGTCACCCTCTAGTTCCTCGAGTGCTCTTGTGAAGTTAGGGTGAGTGTCAGCTTCTGAGCCGCCATCTTTGAAGGGTCGCATCGCTCTGAGAGACACGGAGGAGCCAGTGCGTGGAAAGGTCGCTGAGGGGCTAGGCCGAAGACTGGATTTGCACATTGGGGTTTCTTCCACCGTTCGGCCTCGAGGCGGTACACTGCCATTGCGACCCCGGAATATATCGTCTCTGTGCGAGAAATTGAAATTTGGCATTGAGGGACTTGGAAGTTTAAAATTCGAGTCTTGGAAGCTGTCTTTGATGGCCTTGAGTCTGCTGTTTACCTGCTCAGACACTCTCTCGAACCGTGAGTCGTCACCAAGAGAGGACGCAATAGACTTGGAACGATAGAGCAGTAGTGAACCTTCTGAGTTCGACCTACGAAACCTAGACGGAGGTCGATCGTGCGACACGCGAGGTGTACCTCTTGGGGCAAGCGTCGAAAGGCTGTCATTCTCAAATTCGCCTTGGGGTATGGGTGCGGTGCTGACTTGTTGAGGTGAGCTCAAACTTCTGCGACGACCCAGCATCGACTCGGAGTTGCCATCGCGCTGAGGTATACTGCCAGTGCTTGCTGCTTCTATCTGCCCTGGCCGAGGGCTTGTGCCTGGTATTGGCTTCCCACGCTCGTGGTCCAGCGGCAGTGCCGAGAAGCTTGGCAAAGAGAACTGCAGGTGTTTGGGCGCTTTTGGTAGGTTGAACGGCACGTATTTGCGCATCGTTTCGGCCATCGATCCACTTGACGATGCTCTTCGCCGCCCGTTATTGAGGTGTTGCCGCAGCGTTGCGCGGTGGTCGCTCATTCGGCCCTGGAAGGTCTTGGGGCCCGCGCGCCATGGTGAGGGCAAGCGCTCGAGAGGCTCGTCTGGACTAGACCCATACCTCACCTGCTCAGCTTTTGCAGGATGACTCTCGTCAACCTCACCATGTGAGGGTATGCGGTTCCTTGTCCTAGCATCTATGACCGCAGTTGCGTGTTGTTCCCAGCCATCAAAGAGCGCGCCGCCCTCAAGGTCCTCCAATGCAGCAGCCCTCTCAGCAGCAGGCGTCTTCGGCGAGGTCAGACGCGTTTGTTGTTGCCCTATGCTGACTCCAATTGCAGACTGGACCGTCTCCAGCTCCAGCTTCTGCTCTTGCTCGGTCTCATCTCCGGATTCGACGGGTGTGAGGTCATCGTCGTCGAGTATCGATGCGAATTGAATGTCTGCGAGAGCATTCTGGCGACGCCCGTGGTTGCTTGAATTGATAGGGACTTCGGCGGCCATTTCTGCCATAGTCGCACAAATATGCCTCTGGTATGTATGTGTCTCGGCTACGATGTCAGCATATTCAAGGAACGTGTCTCTCCCGCTGTGGCAGTGTCATTCCGCGCGCTGCCGGACGCAAAGACAACCACGGTTTCGTGGATCCATCAAGTAGGGGCTATGTATCCATCAGGAAACAGGCCCTGCAACTCAGGAACGTGCGACGATAGCGGAGAGTGACCCATGACGGCAAGCGCAAGCCAACGTATACGTACAGAAAGCGTATTTGAGATGCCCTGGTGGACGCTCCCGCCTGCCGTCAGCCACATGATGTAAAGCCACTTTCCTGTCCGCCAAGCTGTCACTGCTCTCACCACTCACCACTCATCAACTTCTACACATAACAATCTGCAAATGTCTGTTCCCAAGTGAGGTCCGAAGTAACATTGGTTATCTTGTGCGCCATCTTTGAACAAGCTGCGACCGCCAGCAGACTACAATGAGTGGCAGTACGGGATCAATAGAGGCTTTCGACAATGGAAATGTTATCTTGCTCATCGAACACATTGTGTTGCTACCGTGAGGAGTTGCTGATACTTTCGGGACGCAGGTATAAGGTATATGCGCATGTACATTTCTCACCGTTGAGAAATTTTGTTCGCAGAGATCAAGAACTCATCCAGCAATCACACGACCTCGATCTGAAATATTTGAAAAAAACACACAGGTTTCATCTCTACCAGCACTGGCTCCGGGTTGTCTTCCACCGGAAAGACCTGCCTCAAGGGATACCTACCTCACCGACTTCCGTGAGACGACCACCAATATGACGCCCTTGTGCATTTGTACGGGCTCCACTCGACCGATTCGGCAAGAGTTCAGGCGATGCGGGATTATTCGGGATCGTCAGGTACCCATCACCTCTGACAGCGACCATCATTCAGAGCTGTAATCCCTACAACCGACGACAACCGAACGAACCACGACTTAACTCGCAGCTTCATGCAGGTAAAATGCGGACCCTAACGTAACTCGACGCGATCCCGCCTCCACATCGACGCCTCAGTCGCACACGGCATGGCGTCACACGAGGATGGCTCGACATTCACGTTGAGTGTCTTCAGAGGCATGTCGGCTCGATGCGATATCAGTCCATGGATATCCCTCGGAATGGTTGCCGAGGCCGGACAAGTGCTTGAATACAAGGAGCGTGCCCCAGAAGTGCCTCTCCGCATTATTCAATACAGCTAGTACTACAACAACCTCCAGCAAGTACTACAACAACCTCCAGCAACATGTCTCAAGTTCTTGTTCTACCGACACCTCTCTCGTCCAGCTCTTTCGCTCTTGGACAGCTGCTTGGCGATCCTTTGAACCCGGAGTCGAGTTCCTTCGAGCCATCAACAAAGCCAGCATGCAACAAGCCTACCATACAGTCACGCTACGAGGACATCATTTCTCAGGATGAAGAAGGACGCTTCATCTCCAGCCTCGGCAAGACGGCTTCATCAGTTGACAACACTGTGGTGCTGAACGCTGATGAGATGTCTCTTGCTTCACTCATGAACCCCTGCGCCGCCTTCGAAGCACTCCGCCGCGACACCAAAACTCAAAATTTCCTTCGCAAATCTGCCCTGCAAAACCAGCCATTATACTTTGTCACCGGCATTCAGAGGCTCAAAAATGCCTCATATCGACGGTCATCTGCGAGGGAGGGATTGACAGCCGAGGCTACCGGGCGTCAGATCCGATTGCCCATGTACGTACGCCGCGACTCCGCAGAACTTGAGGAGGACGCAAAGGAGTCAGTGTTCGCCGTTAAGCTGATGAAAGTCGCTTGCCGTGCCGGCGCCAAGGATGCGCCTCATACCCTCGAGGACATTGACTACGCCTGGACATACCACACTCTTGAGGAGCCGGATATGCAACTCTCGATCGGTCTCGGGAAAGCTCTGCAGGCGAAAGAACTGAGAGCCCTCGCCGGAATCGTTATTGACGAGGACTTCGGGGAGCAAGGACACTACGATCATTACTTCGATGACGAAGGTCTGGCTGGATTTTCAAGCGACTAGCCGAGCACGCATCGACCGTCTAATCATTTCTTTATAACACTGGATCTATCGGCGTTCACATTACCAGAACAGCATAGCATTGGCTTCTTTCTGTTTCCAATATAACACCATCGATCTTCTTGTACTTGACAGTCAGTCCAACCTTATGTCACATCCATGCGTTGTCCAGTCCAGTCACTTTGGTCAACTTTTCGAAACAATTTGCAAGTTTGATCACTAAACAGTCATGAGGGTGTTTAGTGTGTCGGCCGATGCATCAAGTCACCAAGCCTGATTCGCCTCTGGGTCCTGCTGACATGCATAACAATGCGATTGTTATATCATCAAAGCCGCAATTCGACACATGCGTTTATCTTCAGCGGAGAACCTTGCGACTTATATAATGCGCAGTTGCCGTGAAAGACACTATGTTCATGCAACGGCCGACGCTACTACAGTCTCAATGAGCGCCATTGAAACACTTATTCCAGTCACCCAGAAGGCACCGAACGTATGCGGTTACTGTAGAACAAGGAAGCAGGCTTGTGATCGTACAATACCGAGTTGCTCTAGATGTACTGCGTAAGAATCCTTGGGCTCAAGGCCGTATGGCTTGTTGACTGATTGGCGACATTAGGAAAGGTCAATACTGCGACTACACGCCATCACCACCTCAACCAATCACCACAACCGAACCCTCGATCTTGCAGTCGGGCACATTCGCACCTTACCTGTCGTCTCGTGGCGTCTGGGAGCTCCTGCAAAGTGTGACTGCAACCTTGCACGCTACATCTGATCCAATCGCAAGATCAAAGCTCTCAGACTTTGTCACCGACATTCTGGACCTGGCTAATGTCGATTTTCCTTCCGCACTCGACAACTTTGGTCTGTCTGTTCAGCAATGGTGTCCAATTCTCTCTGATGATGTCTTTCGTCAATGTGCAGAAGTCATTGTGGGTGACTACCCGCTGCTGGCGTTGGGCGTGTGGCTTGTTACCAGGACAGCCCTTGGGCACCCTGAACACTTCTATGGCTGCCAATTATATCAAGCTCTGAAACAGGTCATGGCTCTGCTTCAGACACGAAGTGAAGTGAAGGTACAGGCGTTGCAGTTCAGTTTGTTGACAGCAGTATATGAGGTGGGCCATGGCATGGGTAGACAAGCATTCCAGACGTTGGGAAACTGTAAATCGATGATGGCCCTGCTACAACTTGACGCCCACCGCAACAACGACATCAAGGTACTGGGATTCGTCGAGTGGCTACAAGCCTCCTTGGTCATGCTAGATCGGTACGGTCCTACCTTCCTTGACGTATAGCTGCCATCATTGACACCCTCCTCCAGAATCCTCTTCATCGCAGCTCCATCCATCTCCCTCCCGCTAACCTTCCCCCCAGCGGATCCAATTTGCACCTCCATGTCCGCCAAATATCAACCTCCCATCCCACCGCAATCTTCAACCTTTTCCCCAACATCTCCCCGAAAAGTGCATATCCGCACCGTCGCCGCCCTCGCCTCCGGCCACGCCCTCGACTACATACACGCTCGGCAGCGGAGCCTCACACCCAACGATTCTTACGACGCAGTCGATAACCAAATCTCAGATTGTATCAAGATGCTAGTCGACAAACCACAGCCACACACATGGCTGCACTGTGACGCTATCGCTTTAGCATTCTGCTCGCACATCTTGCTGCAGCAAGCTCAGGTGCACTATTTAGCCGCGCCTCCGCAACCAATTGAGCTACATGAGCAGCAGGAGAAAGCAAGTCTGGCGCTGAAGTACTCGAGGGTTATGGTATGGGACATGGTGAAAGTCGTCATCAACAAGATTCGAAGCGAAGAAGAAGTGGCGAGGTTGCCATTTGCGGGGCTATGCTGCGTATTGCGAGCCGGAATGGCGGTGTTGGAGACTACTGCACTCAATGTATACGATGTGATGTCGAGAGAGGAAGTTGACGGGTTTCAGAGAATAGTAAGCTGGTTCGCTAAACAATGGGGAGTGGGCAGGCAGTATGAAGCGAGGTTGGCGCATTTGGTGAAGTGACTTTACTTGGTTGTTTATGGTTATGGTATCTTCAGGCTTTCCCGTACGCCATCAATGCTAAATATGCTATAGAACGATTACTATTGCCGCTTCACACCTCTTTATAAAGCAAGGATCTTCTCAACCGCACGTTCGGCAATGATCATGGTACCCAAGACCGGGTTAGTGGTCAAAGGAGCGCTGATGGATGCATCCACAACGTGGATGTTGCTGGTGCCAATGACCTTGGCGTTGGTGTCAACGCAAGTATCGAAGCGGCAACTGCTGGACCAGTGCTGGACATTACCCAGAGTGTAATCAGAAGGCGAGCTGACCCAAGTGGTAATCTCCTCAAGCGTCGAGTTACCAGCGATATTTAATGGCTTCAGGTTCTTGGGCAGGGCCTGGAAGATGTTGTAAATGAACTGACCAACGGCTTGAGCATCCCGCTTGTCGGAGTAAAAGAAGCCAGACGAGGGTGTGGCGATGCCCTTGGCATCTAGACCGACGCGGCCGAAGGAGCGCAGACCGGAGGTTCCGTATACGTTCAGGGTGATGGTGCCGTTTTCCATGAAGTCGACCGCACCGGAGGAGTCGATGGTGCCTTGGCAGCCGACGGTCTCGTTGCCCTGCTTGATGAAGTCCCAGAAAGCGCTGGTCTGCGAGCCGAAAGAGTAAGGTCCGGAGCGCGACTTCAGGTAGAGATCGCGGTCAGCGGGGATGGGGTCGGTGTAGTTGTAGGTGTAAGAGGAAACGGAGTCAGAGAAGAGCTCAATGAAGGTGTTCGGGTTGTCGAAGACCTTATCACCAACAGCGCTATTGTTAATCCACTGGCTTGCAGGGAGTGTGAGCTGACCGGATGCGGAGAGGTTGCGGAGGGTGGCTGCCTCGCCAATACCGGACCACATGAGGAGCTGAGGGCTGAGAAGAGCACCACCAGAAAGGACGACGCGGCCGCTCTTAGCGATGTTGACGATGGAGGTGGTGTTGGAGCCCTTGATTTGGATCTCGACGCCAGTCGCTGTCTGACCGTCGCGAATGACGCGAACAACCTTGGTTCCGGTCTGGAAGTGGAAGTTGGGGCGCTGGAGCGCAGACTGGAGGTAGGTCTTGACGGGACCGCTCCTCTGGCCGCCATCATAGTTGTAAATGGGGTGACCGAAGACCTTGGTCTTCTGGTGATTCTCCCAACCGTCATTCAGGCCGACCTCAGCATAGCCAGCACCCTTGACGAGCCACTCCTTAGCGGCATCAAAACCGCTCTGCAAGTAGCGCTTGCCATCGGCCGACGGATTATCGGTAGAAGGCTGCTTGGCGTGGACCTTTGCAATCGCACTCTGCATGTCAGAGTTCTTCCATCCAGCGGGGAAGTACAGGTCCCAGTCAGATGCTGGGGGCTGGAAGAAGAGACCAGCGTTGATGGCAGTGTTTCCGCCAACTGTGCAGCCCTGGAAGGCATTGACAACGTCGGACGCACATGTTAGGTTGCCAGTCACCGAGAAGATGGACTGCCAATGTTAGTCTCATTGCACAGCATAGTTGATTGCTGCAAAACATACCTTGTAAAGACCAGGAACATCGACACGGCTGAGCTCAGTGCTGTTCAACCAACCAGGACGCTCACGTCCCCCGGTAACATAGTATGATGGTCCACCCTGCTCGAGAAGAAGAGTCTTCTTGCCAGCCTCGCTCATGCGGTCGGCAACAATGAGACCAGCAGGTCCGGAACCGACAACGATGACATCGTAGTCAGCTTCCAATGTGCAGTTCTCGGCGATAGGAGCAGCACTGGCAATCATCGCAGTTGAGAGCAGAGCTCCCCACGTTTGCGTGACCTTCATCTTGTATGTAAGTGATCTCGAGTAGTACCGATTTCAATCCGAGATCTTCGACCGATCCTTGAGGTTGACTGCAGAAGAATGCAAGACAAACCCATGGCGGCCAAACCATCAATATATCTCGCTTGCACGAGAGATTTGCTAGGCGTGGCGACCCGTGAACCCTAGAGCAACTTACCGAGTTGAGATTTGGTCCACTTCGCAGATACGAAGGAAGATGACGCTGTGGTGCCAGACTCCGGTTGGCGGTGCATCGCAGTGCGCCGTGCACGACGCCACAAGGACGCTTGCGGCTGTTGTTTTTCGTTAGTCAAGGATCCACAGTCTAATTTACGAGAGGCAAATGCAACGGTGCTCTATCTTTGGCAGCACAAACTGCACCTTTATTATCTTTTGTGAGAGGCTGACAGTTCAGCTGCAGGGAAGGCTACATTCACTGCATGGTGGGAGAGGTTGGTGCATACGTCCGGCTGACCTGCACAACCGCGAGGAGATCCGATAAGATAAGTGACAGCACACAACGCATCGCGACATCTTATGCTCGCTCATGTCACGCATCAACATGAAACGCATGGGATCAGGTCCACCCGAGAAACAGAACAGCGCGCGCGGGATGCCCAGGTGAGGCTGTTCCTGCGCATGGCGGCTCTCAGGATCCATGCAGTCGGACCGCGCCTTCTGATCCATCGGGGCTCGTTCCTCGCACCTCAATTGCCGGCATGTCTCCGTGACTGCTGCACCTTCCATTGGGTCGGAATTTACCATGTCTGGGTTTTCACTTAGCATGAATCCTTCAGGATTTGGTAATGTCGGGGGAAGAGACGATCGGTCCTTCAGTGGACCTCTGGCGGGTAAGTCGCGTCGGTAACGTGTGCGAAAGATGGCGTGAGGTCCTGGTGAAGAGGAGATTGCACGAAAGAGTTTGACGAAGGACGGAAGAGACAGGTCGAGGAAGGTCTTATGGAAGTCTGGACGAGAGCTCGTGCATAAGCAAACAATTGCACCCAAGTTGATCGTCATATCGCAGCGAAGTAAAGCCGGCAGTTTGGGCGCACGGATGATGTGTTTGCGATTCACGGTGAGCAGCAAGCTGGGGTGTCGAACCGGTACTTGATCAACAGTCCGTACGACAACTGTCGGGGACTATTTCCACTCTTCTCAACTGGTTTCTTGACCCAAACAGCTTCGCTGTGGACGGACTGGCGGGTCTGTGAAACCACCCGCTGTCACAACCGTCACCATGGCACCAAACTATGGCCTGTTCTACGGTGTAGAGATCACAACGATATGTGTTGCAGTGATCTGTTTTACGCTGCGGTTGTCAAATCGAAGCATCAAGAAGATCATATCCTTTGTGAGTACCGCGTCCCACTAAACCCCAGGTTCTGTGCCCACTACCCAAAACGAACCTCATACACTTCGACAGTTCACATCTAACATCAACAGGATGATGTTGTCCTCGCCATCGCAACATGTATGGCTATATCCATGACCGCCATGGTCTGGCGGTTATATCGCCTGGGCTATGCGATGGAGTTGGACCTTGTTCCCGTCGAGAACAACTATCCCATCGGCCGAATCAGTCTTGCACTGTTTTCCATGTTCCCCATGTGCTACAGCCTGATTCGTATCTCGATCCTCTTGACATATCTGAAGCTGTTTCCTTCGCAAACAAATCGCTGGCTCTGCTGGGGCCTGTGTGGACTGCAGATTGCGTACTCGCTGTGGGCGGGGTTGAGTACGTTGCTGCAGTGTCGGTAGGTCTATCAAAGACAATGACAAGTATACAAATCCTGACCACGTACCTAGTCCTATCAACAGCTACTGGAACAAAACCATCGAGGGCTACGTCTGCAACAACCCACGAAACCAAGACTTCGCCATCTTGACCCTGAACAGCTGCTTTGACATAATTGTCTACATCTGGCCAGCACACTATCTCTACAAGCTCAACTTGCCCTTCAAGTCCCGCGCTGAGCTGATCATCGCGTTCTCCATTGGCATTGTGTAAGTCTCCAGCACCCCTCTACAGTTGACCACTCCACCAACGTTTCCCAGGAACCTCGGCCTGTCCTTCGCCCGCCTGTCCCTCCTCGTCGCCATGTACAGTACCGAAGAGTGGATGCGCTACGGCCCACCAGGCGTCCTCATCATCATCGTTGAGTCCCACATTGGCGTCACATGCGCCTCGCTTCCTTACCTACGCTTCCTCTTCGAATTTGTATCGACCAACTACCTTTCGAGGTCTGCATACGGTGCCACCAAAGACCCAACAAAAGCGAAACACTCGGATCCGAATCACGTAAGCCACCCCTTTGTTGAGCTAGAGGGTCGAAGCGGGGGTGGCATACAAAGGAAGACCGACATTGAAATTAGTACATTTAAAGAAGAAAGCGAAGAAGACCTGACCGCAACGGCATACGGAGGGAGGAACCGGGCGATGGAAGAGCAGATGCGCAGAGATGAGAGGGCGTGGAGTGGCGAGGAGACGTTACTAGAGGAACAACCAGGTGGTGCGCACCCTGGCATGGCGAGATGACGGATGAAAGCTCAATGAAATACATACGCAATAGATTGATGACTAGTTAAGCGTCATGCAAACACAATATATACGTTGCATCATGAGCTCTAGGAGCAGCGACTGGGCAGCATGATCCAATATGATTATAGGGCTACAAACACGGCGTCTTTATGGCTACTACAGTCATATCAACTTTACAATATATTTGGTAAAAGATAACACCTCTTTCACATACGACCATAGGACGTTGAAAACAAGGCTTCCCGTTCGCTCAGCCCTATTTAAGCAACGTACCGGCGGATTAGTAGTTAGGTGGGTGACCACTAGCGAATACCCGCTGTTGTATGTTTTTATCTCTTTTTTGTGTTCGCACCATCAGAGTGGTTGTAGCAACTCAATAACTGTTCAGCGCAATCTTGGCTTAATCTTTTGTGCAAAGGCTACCGTAGCCTTGAACAGAAGCTTTCCATTGTAGGGACTGATGTTTAAGACTTTCTGGTCGCTGATAGTTCCTTTACCTTACTACAATGCTTCGTCAAGTAGATTCTTGAGTCTCAAACTTCTAGCTTCGAGCTTGCCGTTAATACTTCACTAATCTTCAGAACTCAGACGCAGCAGCATGGCGATATTAGCACCTTCGATATCTGTGGTGCCGGCCGATCTGGTCTCGTCGCTGGCGGCTAAGCAAGAGCCGTTTGCAAGCAAACTAAGCAAGTTCAGCCCTCTTGGTTACTGCGGACTCTGGAAACACGTTGCTACCTCGACAGGACGTGTTCGACCGCTCAGAAATAGACTCATCAGTGGGTTCCAGTAACATGCGCGCTGGTACAACTTCGGCCTGTGCTCAAGAGCTATATGATGAGACTTCGTGGGCATCCAGCTTGTGTGCGGGCGCAGCTCAAGGTGTTGCAGTAGATGCAATAAATGAAGGTGTAACCGCGCAGGGCAGTAAGTCAGGGGGAACTGCGCAGAGCAGTAAAATCAGTATATTGTGTTGTTCTGTGTTCGGCCCTCTCACCAGGCCATCAGCAGGGTCTGTTTATATGACGTATGTCTCGTGCAGCCAAGGGGCAGAAGGTGCTTGTTGGAACAGGCAAGAGCACTGCACCAACACGTGTGGCACACATGACCTCCTTGCTTCATAGACCGTCCCAGGTTTTCGTGTATCAAACTTCGCCATACCATCACATTCCACCATTAGCTGCCGCTGAATTTTTGTCACTCTTCTGCACCACAGGAAACTTCTCCAGACACTCGTACCACTGTACTACACTCCCAACAAGAAATGCCCAACTTCCCCAGAATGTAGATAGACAAGCCTGATACTGGCTCCAACTACTTGTATCAAACCCAAACGCCGGACAAATCGTAAACCCAATACCACCAATTAGATTCCACGCCCCAATCCACCAGCCCAGTGTCCGAGGCGCCGGCTTCCACCAATTGGACTGTGTTTCCAGCATGAAGAGCGTGCCAGAGACGATGAAGCCTAGGCCGCCGATAACCTGCGGTGTCCAGTAGAAGATGATAGTGATGGGACGGGACATTCTGCTATAAATGCCTGGGAGGGCTGTGAGACCTGATATCCAAAAGACTGTGGCACCGCAGAGTTGGGAGAAAGAGGCGAGGAAGCCGATGTTGTAGATATAGTGCGTCCGTAGATCTGTTCTCGAGGGCCACCATACCCATGAGCGAGCTGCTGAAGCTGATTTTCCCTTCAACAGATGGTGATGCATGCAATGCGACTTTGAGGGTTTGAGTTTCCCGTCTCCAGTTTGGTCATCACCACCCTCGTGCGACAGGGCTTGCTCAAGTGCCCATCCAAAGCATCCCGACTTATTCTCATTCACAGCTTCAGCCATGAGCAGGAATGAACCAAACTCAAACACTGTAGCTCCAATAAATGCAGTTATGCCCCCACCATACAGTTCTTCATTCTCAAACTCGGTGTCAGGTCGCACGAGTGGCAACCATACAAAAAATGCGTTGATGACCCATATCACACTGCCAATCGTAAAGACATATGCAACGTCGAAGGATATATCCCATATTGGGTAATACGTGAGCATGCGGCAGATACCGCGTGCGATGCTGTTAACGCTTCGGGTTGCACGTCGCTGAGCCTTTGTTGCTTTGCATTGTTAGTTCCAACGGCTGCTGTCGTCAACTGTCGCGCAACGAATTGCATCGCTTTCTTATTAGTAGGAGGATCGAAGGATGATGGCAACATCGCGTTCAATATTGGGGGAGAAGCTAGAGAGCCTTGCTGCCAACCCATGTTCAGTGACGCGTTGGTGAAAACCAATTGCATCATTTGTTCACGGCTGAGGCTGGAAATAAGATATGCTAACGCTGAGTCAGCAGCCTAGGCTACAGGATCATCACCCTCTACATGCCAACCCACACGTCACATCTCCTGCAGCCACTTGACGTTGGCTTCTTCTCTTCTCTTAAGGCAGCATACGGTCATCAGGTGTCGGAGCTTGCCCGCCAAGGGATCTTCTATACAGACAAGCTTGACTTCCTCTAACATCTATACTGAGTTTAGGTTGACAATCCTGTCAGAACAGCACATTACAGCAGGTTTCAAAGTAACTGGGCTTATCTAAATAAGTCCAGAGCGCGTCCTATCTAACCTAACTATTGTCAGAACACCATCCCCACCTGTGACGACAGCAGCTAGAGCAGTATGGATGGCAGACACTCCACATACAATTACTCAACTTGAGCAGCAGGCTCGTCTAGAAAGAGGTCTCCTCCAGCGACAGTCACAGAGCCCTACAAGTCGGGCTATCTCCCAGCTTGTCAAGGTTGTTAGTGAGCTATCAATTCAGCGACAATCTTAGCAGAGGAGAACTCAAAGCTACGTGCTGCTAACTACCGCCAGCAACGTAAACTCCAACAGAAGAGCCAGTATATAGCCCGTGGAGGAACCTTACAGACTCAGGAAGGTCGTACGCTTGTCACAGAAGCTCAAGTAGCTGTCTATGAGGTTGACCAACTACCTACTATACAGGCACGATCCCGAGCACTACCAACATGCAGTAAGTGTCACACTCAAGGCCATACTAAGGCTGAATGTAAATCAATATAGTTAGTCTATCCTGTGACAAAGTCTGAGACAATTTAAGCTTGTGGTTGTGGATTATGCACTACAAGCGTTATCGATAGAGTTCCACCATAATGCTATGACAACAGAAAGCAACATCGGAATGACTGAAAACGGTGAAACTGATGCTGTGATACCAAGTATATTGAAATCCGCACGATAGGTGAAGATATCCTGGCGCAATTCCGATTTCTGGGCAAAGCTTAGCAGTGTTGCAGTCCGGACCAGCAGTGCTATAGTGTAAATCAGCAGCCCGACCAAATTACAGACTGGTAACGCCAGTAACACCGCCTTGGATCGGATGCGTATGCTTTGCTCAGACTTAGCTAGATCAAATCTCAGCGCACGACTTCAGCGAAACGTCGGTATACATACCCACGGGTATATGTGCGACGGTGGGCTTGACCTCAAGGACTGATCGAAAGAAGTGGTGACAAGTGTCTGACGAACCCTGCCTTGATCATGTTTCTTGGTGCAAGATCGATCATCCTAAGGGTTGACAACGCGGATACATTTGTGGCCAATAAGCCGCTCAATCCGAGAACACTACTCGGGTCTCGAAGAAGGTTCAGTGGTCGTTGTTTGCTTCGACGATCGAAGGTATCGGGAGGAATAGGCGTAATAGTCTTTTTGAGAGGGGTTCTACCAAAGCTGACCTCTAGACCTGCCAGCGTCGACGAGACAGGAGCGGGCATAACGGCCGTGGTATGCCCAGAGCGGCGGGCATATGCTCTCATGGTCGGCACAGGCCGTGAAGAACAGTCAGCATCTTCTGCAGTGGGAAACCACATCGTAACTTACTCGTCAATGTTAGTCGATTTATTAGGCAGTCACCGTTCAAGGTCGAACTCCCGACAGGCAGGTCGTGAGTATCGCACTGCAGGTTTAAAGAGACCTCCGCGGCCACTTACATCTTGCACGATAGCTTTCTCAACACGACACCGGAACTACGAACAGCTGCTTCATTCACCTTCCATCTCGTACGCGAGTCAACTCGTGCACGAGATGGAAGAATGACAACGCGTCGCTAACTACAGATAGACCGAGATCGAAAAGCTCAAGGAGACGCGATAGAAGCACGAAGACCGACTCCTCCAACAGAACAGCACCACCAATAACCTTAAAAGCGACAAGGAGCGCCTTCAGGGTGAGAAGGAACGCCTCCAGAGCGAAAAGGACCGCTGTCGGCCTGCCTACGAGACTTTGCGGGATATGCTGCTTTGGCTGATGACAGGTTTTAAAATAGGGTTTAGGCGATCGGTATTGATTGACTTAATGTCATATGTGAATCTGAAACTATGGAAGACGAAAGGAGCAGTAGCTCCTCTGGTAAAGCAAGAGTTTAATTATAGGAGGTTGAGTTCTATGAAAGTACAAAGGAATAGGTGATCGGTAGCACAATATGCATCCTTGCTCCGAAGGGCAATACGGAGCTGTACATACTATTTGTGCGACGATGGGGCCCGGGTCCAACGCTGTCAGTGCACGTGTTTGCTGGAAAGAAAGAATCACAGACAAGGTAGTGGTTTATAGGATCTCGAATGAGCTATTCAGCGTTCACGAATTGTGCAGGATGATGGAGGAGTGATGATGGGTTGTGTGTCTGCAATCGCGGTGGCCGGCAAAAGAAGGGAGAACCAAAACGCATGTTCGCAACTGTAGGAGTCCGATTGATGGTGGTGATCGAATTGGGCAAAGGGACAATAAAATTGCAAAAAACATACAACAGCGGGTATTCGCTAGTGGTCACCCACCTAACTACTAATCCGCCGGTACGTTGCTTAAATAGGGCTGAGCGAACGGGAAGCCTTGTTTTCAACGTCCTATGGTCGTATGTGGAAGAAGTGTTTCTTTTTATAAAATACATTCGAGTAAGTTGACAAGATGGCGCAAGAGTATTATTAACAGAAGCAAAAAGGCAAAAACATACAACAGCAGGTATTCGCTAGTGGTCACCCACCTAACTACTAATCTGCCGGTACGTTGCTTAAATAGGGCTGAGCGAACGGGAAGCCTTGTTTTCAACGTCCTATGGTCGTATGTGAAAGAATGTTGACATTTTATAATATATATTGTAAAGTTGGTGTGACTGCAGCAGCCATGAAGACGCGTCCATCATATGCAGCTTGTAGTAAGGGGCAATGAACTTTGCATGTTTCATCGGATATTCTCTCTCCAATGACCAAAAGCCATCCAGAAGTATAGATATCTTCTTCGTATAGCTATTAGTAGCAGCACTAACTGTAAAGAACCCAAGCACCGTTTAAACTCGTCCACTTTTTCTATTACTAGCAGGTGTTTTAAACAACGGAGACCCTAAAACAGTACCTTGACAGACAGAAGATCAGACGGAAGAACTTACTATCTCACCGGTTGACAGAAGTATGCTCAAATTTCCTGTAAACGGCAGGTAGAAGCTCAACCACTGGAAGTGAGAATCTGCGATTTGCCCATAAGACTCCGTAAATGGGTATTTGACTATGATCAAGCCGCATTATGCTGATTATGCTTTGGACACTCCAGTGGATCACAGATGAATCTGATTGCTGCGTTAGCCGCTTGCAATAATGCCACGCATATGTGGGTGGCTTCAACAACACGGATGTGTCCTGGCGCGCCGCTCCTGATAGCGGCCTTGATGATCGACCACATACCCCTAAGGCTGAAATCGCCCCTCGTACTCTTATGAGAATTGCGATCAAACTCATAAATCAACGCCTGCCAGTCAAGTTTTTCAGCTACACTGCACACCACCAGCTGTCACCGAGCAGCTGCTCAAGGAGGCCAAAGAAGCTGGTGTGCCTGCTGTGTGGCGACAGCCAAACAACTTCGACGACGATGTGCCAGAGTATGCGCAAGCAAACTTCAAGGCTGCTATCGCAGGCGATAGTGAGAGAGGTGGGGAGGTGGTGTGTGCTTGTCGATGGGGAGGCGGGGCTGAAGGCTCCTGGGAGGGCGTAGTCGAGGCTCTGAGGTCATCCAGAACTATAGCATCCCGCCCCTGGGTACCAGATGAGTACTTCATCTCACCTCTTTGGCCCACAGAGTAGGCTGGATCATTCTGGCAACGTCGATCGTCCACTTCGCAGGTTTGGGAAGCTGAGACTACTGTTCATCGAAACAACTTTATGTGCAGCACAGTTCGAACCACAAAATCACTTGTGTGAGCGCAATAACCACTTTGAACCAGTTGCGACTGCACTCTTGGTGCCGGAAGATGGCTGCCAACTCAACCTCACTATGCACTCAGCCGGCCGCATGGCTTTGCGAGTCGACTTTGCCTTGTGGAGCGGGCCAAGGCATCATGTCACTGCCCGCTGCCGACGACTTACGTCAATTCTTCTTTCTCCGCTCCTGGCGCAACATTGAGATTCATCATCATCGTGTCTTGAGGTCGGACTGCACTCCGACCGGTAAACTGAGACCGCTATCCTGAGCGTTCGTGGATTGTCAAACAAGCAGATGACCACGCCGCTACGCAAGTACCTCTTCGCTTGATACCCGATGAATGAAGTGTGGTCTGCGGTTCAGTGGGCATGTACATTAGCGTAGTCCAGGTTATTTAAGCGAAGTAACTTTTGGTGCGGTTTGCTGCGTGAAAAAAAAAACGTGATGGAAAGGTCAGCGTAGGATAGAGCAACAAATTTGTGCATTCTCAGAGGACTTCCTGGATGCGAGGTGAGATGGCTTTGTTGTGTGGGAAGGCGAACAATATGCTCCTTAGCGCGCGGTGGAGCAAATCCGTCCCGTGAGGATGGCAGGGATGTGTGTCTTAGCCCTACAGGCTGCCGGTCGAACACTAGCAGTCAGTTGGAAACACATTTCTGCTTCACAACGTAGCCATTGATGCCTCTCATGTCTCAGAAATCGCAAGAGCCTGGGAATGACAGAAGCGCAACTGTACTGGTGCCCTGCTCTTCTCGGACAAGGGCCATGTTCGTGGGTCGGACATGCTGCCATTTGTCAATGTCGTGGAGCAAACGCTCGTACCAGTGCATCGGTACCCTCTCACTTGGACTTGCTGCCAGCACTCTGTGACCTGTACTTCGATTAGCAGTATGCATGTCAGTGTGGTCAATGTCTCAGTGCGCGTCGGTGGGCCATTGGTAGAAGCCCGCGAAATTCGATCGTGTATTGATGGATTCAGATATTGTCAAAGCCGTCCAAGTAGGCCCAAAACACCACAAACGCCTCGCCGGGAGAAGTATGCCCAGTATGCCATCTTAGTCGTGGTTAAGAAAGCGGCTTAGAACTGGTCCAGTGTCATGCTCATCGAGACGTCTGTGTTCTCAACCATCTTGGTGAACTCCTCAAAGCTGATCTTGCCGTCGCGGTCCAGGTCGGCCTCCATGATGGTCTTGTCGACAATCTGCGATAGGGGTTAGTGGATGTTTGCATGTACTGCAAGCTCCTTCCCTGTGCGGGCGTACCTGTTGTAATTGCTGGTCTTTCAGGTTGCTGCCAACCATCATCTTGAGCACAATGAAGAGCTCGCCATTGCTGATGTAGCCATCGCGGTCAATGTCGTACACGCGGAAAGCGAACCGCAGCTTCTCTTCCTTGTTGCCTTTGCTGCTGAAGGCCGAGAGACCGGAGACGAACTCCTGGAAGTCGACGTCGCCGCCGCCGTCCTCGTCAAAGATGGCAATCATTCGTGTTGCGAGAGGGTTCGAGGAGATCTGGGGAAGGGCTAGGAACTCGTCGCGCTCGATGGTGCCTGAGTTGTCCTGTGTGTTGTTAGTCACCCATTTAGACAGCATAATCACATAGTGTCGCACCTTGTCAAGCTTCATAAACCTCTTTCTCAGTCTGTCAACTTCCTCGCGGTCGACTGTCATGTGTTAGTACCTGGTTTTCAGCCCCGCGAGCGTGCACACGAGCCGTGGCGCACGCTCCTTCTGCACGTACAATTCGAGCCGGAGGCTATGTTGTCGAGGATCGCAGACGGCTGGTTCCCCATTCCGGCGTGTGTGAAGGAGTAAGAATTGGGTGGGGTGGTGGCTAAGAGTGGACGGGGTTGCTGTGAGCTTTCGTGGGGTCCGCTGTCGACTTCTAGGGTCCCGCCGCCACTAAGGCAGCAGGGGCTATCGACGTCAAGTGCCAAGACATGGAGATGCGCTCCGAGGCATCCCTACCGCTTCCATTGGCAAACATCAACACCCTCAGGAATACTATATAATGGCGGAACCCGGCGTCAGCGAGCTCGCGTCGACACTGCAGTTCGGCTCCATCAAGCGCCACCCTTCACCGCGACACGACCTCAATCCATCGACTGCCGCGTCCGAGAAGCAACCCGTGACGCTCGACAAGAACGCCGATGTCGACTCCGATGTCGAGGAAGATGAAATTCCAATCAGCGTGCTGAACCCGGTGCCGCGCAAGCAGACGATGCCCCCGCTACCGGACCTACGATTCGAGCAAAGCTACCTCAAGAGCATCGAGAAGGCAGAATCATGGCAGGGCGTAGCATGGATCACATTACGGGACCAGGTGGGGATCATCGATGCAGGAGGCAGAAGGCTGTCATACTGACCCGGTATAGGTCCTCATGTGCTTTGCGCAGGGCGTAGTGTGGACACTCATCCTCAGCGGCTGGCGGCATTGGAACAGGTCGGCCAAGTTCAGCGGGCAGAGCGTGGGCGCAAAGATACGCAGATGGTGGTGGGGTGTCAACAACTGGAAGATACCTGATGCAAAGTCGAAGTTGAAGAACACAAAGCTGGCGAAGAACGTCTCAGAGGTTTGTGCCGCCTTCCTTGAGGTCTAGCGTCCTGGTGCAAGCAAAACCATGCGCCGCCACCTGTGTACTGACTAATTCTACAGTACTACAAGACAGAGCTCTCGAGCGCTGCACTCGACTGAGCGTGAATTGTATATGCATCAAATGGCGTTCAGGAGCAAGGTTACGGAATATCAAATACTGGTCGTTGACCACTCCAGTACTCCATCTTCTCTCACTTAGGCTCCCATGTGTCTGCGCTTAGTTCGCGGCAGTACCACAGGAACGCGCCTTCCCTCACTTCTGTCCAGCTCTTGCCTCTTTCTCGGTCGTCACATCCTCTTTCCTGCACGTGCCCACTAACACAACACCCACACAACACCCACAGAACACCCACACAACACCCACAGAACACCCACAGAACACCCACAGAACACCCACACAACGTCAACTCAGCCCACGCAGTCAACTACTTCTACTCCACCATCAATCGCCATCGCCAGCACTCCACACCACTGCAAGCCACCTACGACGCTGCAACAGCTAATCCTGATGGACAGATCAAGCTCGAGTCCCGCCATGATGATCGATGCTGCAGCCTCTACATCGCTTGAGCCCCCACGGAAGGTGCGCCGCGCGACATTGGCAGGTCCAAGGTAAAGACCTAAAGAGCCTCACACTTGCACTGCTGACACCAATAGTGACTTCGGAAGCATAGTCACCATCAACGTCGGGATCAAGCCTGATCACAAGACCTTCATGCTGCACGGACATGCCTTGCGCAGCAGCTCGAACTACTTTGCCATCGCGATGGATGTCCAGTGCGCTGTGGCTGACGAAGACAAACCGGTTAACCTCCCAGACATAACAATCGAAGACTTTGCCGTTTACGCAAAGTTCCTCTACACAGGCCTTCTCTTCACGAAAGAGGCCAACGTCACTGAGCTCACGCGGTGCCTGCATCTGTACAAAGTCGCGAAACACCTCGAAGCGATGGACTTCCAAGATGCCATAGTCGACGCCCTCATCGAAAACATCGTCGAGTTCCGCGCACTCAAAGGTCAATGCCGCTTCACAGCAACTCAGATTACGACCATCTACACCATGACTGAAGAAGACTCGCCTTTACGCAAGTTCGCACAGGACTTATGCTTACAGTCGAAAGGACCCCAGGGGTTCGAAAAAAGACGACTGAAGGACTTTCCGGTGGACTTCCAACTCGATCTGCTTACAGCTGCTGCCCCTTTCATCACTTCGTCGGCAAAGTCGACTGACATGCAAGATCCGTTGGACCTCGGTAGATCTTGCAAATATCACAAACACACCGTTCTCGGAACGCCTTGCTACAGAACAAAGTACCAATTCATGCCGGACGAGCCAGTTGTTGTTGCAGCAAGTGTTGCAGCAAGCGTTGCAGCGAAGTCTAAGCCGGCCGCTGGGAGCAGACGACAGACTGAACGCTTAGCAAGCAACGACTTCGAGTTGAGAGTCTGACGCGGCAACATCGCCTTCACCAAAGTGCTTGGTTGGCAGGCAGCATGCATAATGCAGCAGGGTTTCTAGAGTTATGTCAAGCACCGCCTAAGTCGGAGCCACCCAAATAACAGTCTTGTCTACACCGATGAACCAAGCGGGAAGATGTACACCATCCCGCCTGGCACGCCAGTGGGCTACTCAAGCTACTTCCTGCACCGCGATCCCACCATCTTCCCCGAGCCGGATGAGTTCCGCCCTGAGAGATGGCTCAATATCTCCCCACTTGAACGGCAGAAGCTAAAGGCACATGCTAACAGTTTCGGCAGGGGAACGAGACAGTGCATGGGTGTGAGACTGGCGTATGCGGAGCTGTATCTCACTCTTGGCCACATGTTTCGGCCTTTGGGCAGGAAATGGAGTTGGAAAATACGGTGTATAAGAGGGATGTTAAGTGTATGAGGCGTTTCTTCATGCCGGCGCCGAGTAAGCAGAGCAGGGGCGTCAGAGTCGGGACGAACGAGAAGACATTGTGAATGTGATGATGGCTCATTGAGAAGAGGCGTATATGTACAGCTTGAACAGAATATTCTCCCCCGTCGCGATGGCGATTTTGAACACTGCACTCTCCTACAGGGTGCGACCTTTGCTGCACTTCTGTTTATCCGCCTACGATTCGAACGCCGTGTTCAGGACATTTTCCGACAATCACTGCATTTGTAGGGCACTGTCAACTCTCCATCCCTTTGCTTACTTTCACGACCTCGACACTCGCGGAAGGAACTTAGGCTCCCCTCTCTGCTGTCGCTGTTGCCGCTGCGTTGCTGGTGTTCTCTGGCTTCGGGCCTTTCCCATACCGCTTCTGCGCAGTTGCTGCGATTCCCCTGTGCCACGTTGTTGCATCGGCAGATCTGTGGATCGGTGCTGTGCCTTCTTCCCTTCCGCACCAGACTCTCGCTTGGTACGTGTTCGTCTGCTCATCCCTCGCATCCCACTCCGCGCTTTCACAGCATCAGTTGAGGCATCGCGGATGGCGTTTGAGAGGTAGTGTAGGGCTGTGTGTGCTTTGCTGTCGACTACACTGGGTTCCCGTGCAAGATGTTGGGGTGATGTTCGGGACTTGGAGATGGTTGTTCGAGGTGAGGTGTTGATCTTGATGTTCGTATTTGAAGGGTTAGGTGATGATGCCCAGGCTGTCGCGATGAGAGTGGTGAGGCCGAAGAGGAGTGTGAACTTCATCGTGGAGGTGTGATCTAATCGGATTTTGATTGGTTGGGTTGTTGATTAGTTCAAGTTGAGAAGTTGAGATGAAGAGCCAAAGATTGTAGGGGATCTTTGGTGGTTGATGTGTGCTGTTTGCTGCTTGCTGCTTGTTGGTTGCTGCTTGCTGGTAGTGAGCTTGTATCTGCGCAGAGAGGCACTCATCCTTATACACTGCCCGAGTTTACGCGCTCACCGCACATAGATGGCAGTCGTACATCTACGCAGTCATTAGGTCTCGAAGATATTGCATGTTTCGACCAGAGATACAGTTGCATTCACACAGCTTGCCAATGTGAGTTTAGCGTCCACGCGTCTGTCAGATAGCTCGTTGATTCGAAACAATGTGGGTCCAGAGATGGGAACCAGGTGTTCTGAAGGTGCGTTCAGCATATCAATTTTCTTTAGTGATCCGTAGATCCAGCGAGGCCTTGATACGTCTCATGCCACTATCCAAGCCGACGATAGCTACACGTCGAACGCGAATTTCGAGATGCAGTCTAGTGCACATTGGCCATACTTCGAGTCGTGATGTTTGATATTTGACGTACGCGGCTCTTCCACACCCGCTCTTCGCTGAAACGACGTCAAACTTGACATCTCATGCCGAGCTCATCATGCATCGGTGTGACAGCGTAACAGGTAGACGCGCGGGGTGTGACAGCGTAACAGGTAGATGTGCGGAGTGCTCTGGAAGAATGCGCAAAGTTGATTAGTTCAGTGTCAGCATTGTGAGAGAGTTTAGAATCACGTGATGACGCGCTAGCGCGCTTTCCCGACGCGTTGCCCGTCGCTCTTGCATCTTTCACGGGGTCTTGCCACCACAGCGAAGTTCAGCTCTCACGTCGTTGGGATGCTCTGAAACCACCACTCACACGCCAGATGAAGCCGTTCAAGCCTTTCAAGCCCCTCTCAGTCGCCGGAAGAGTCAACACGCTCAATGGCCCGCCACCACCCAAGAAACGACGCCTGTCCGAGTCCGAGGACGACGAGCCTCTGCTGCGCGCTGCACCCGCAAACCGAAAGCCGCTGATTGACACACACAATCCTACACCGCCTCAAACACCTCCAGTAGACTCCAGTAGCAGCTACTACACGGTGTTATGGCGAAAGTATACCACGAAGAAGAACAAGACATGGGACGGTGACGGCGTGCTGGCTGTGGTGAACGGCTATGGTGTTCTCACGGACAGCGACTCGGGCAAGGAGATGGGTAAAGGGGTGTGCAATCGACCGCTCCTCCCTGGTTCGGCGCTGTCAATTGGTGGCAAGGAGCTTGAAATCGATGGTGTCATTGACAAGAAGGACTATCTGTCCGGTCGCATGTTCATGGGCAAGGCGGCAGCTACACCGGTCGAGCAGACGACCAAGCGCGTGGAACCTGGGTACAGGCCACTATCTGCGAGCAAGCCGCTGCCCACCAGCAAGTCCAAGGTGAAGAGGACCGAGTCTTCGAGCAGCGCTAAGAGCGCGGTTCCCGAGTACACTCCATCCTTGAACAGGAAGCAGCAGTTCAAGACACCACTGCTGTCCAACACAGTGCTTCCGCAGCGCAACTATCCGATACCCACACCTCGCCACGACCCGAACACGCTGAACGCGCTGGTCATGAAGCGGCCTACAATAGTACCCAAGGGGAAGCAAATTGTGGATGTTGTTGTCGATCCCGTGCTGAGCAAACACTTAAGAGACCACCAACGGGAAGGCGTTAAGTTTCTGTACGAATGTGTGATGGGCATGCGAAGTGAGGGCGAAGGTGCCATCATGGCTGACGAGATGGGCCTTGGAAAGACTTTGCAGACCATCACCCTGCTTTGGACGCTTCTCAAGCAGAACCCGATCCACGACAGCCCACCAGCTATCACAAAGGCGCTCATCGTATGTCCAGCTGGTCTGGTTGACAACTGGAAGCGTGAGTTTCGCAAGTGGCTCGGCAACGAGAGGATTGGAGTCTATGTCGCTGACGCGAAGAACAAGAAGATCGCCAACTTCACCATGGGCAAAGCCTACAACGTCCTGATCATCGGATATGAGATGCTTCGGACCGTGCAGGAAGAGCTCAAGAAGGGCGCAGGTGTCGACATCGTTATTGCAGATGAGGGCCATCGCTTGAAGACTGCGAACAACAAGTCCATGCAGGCTATCCAGTCACTCAATACCGAGCGACGCATCATCCTGTCTGGCACGCCGCTGCAGAACGATTTAGGCGAGTTTTACACTGCGATCGACTTTGTCAACCCCGGTCTTCTCGGTCAGCGAGCTGCTTTCAAGCGTGCATTCGAAGCGCCCATTCTTCGGAGCCGTCAGCCAGACGCGAGCGTGTCAGAGCTGGAGAAGGGCGAGGCACGATGGCAGGAACTAGTGTCTTTGACCAGCAAGTTCATGATACGGCGTACCGCGGATGTATTGTCGAAGTATCTGCCCCCAAAGACAGAGCACATCGTTTTCTGCAGACCGACGAAAGCCCAAGCTGAGGCTTACCGTAACATCTTGGCCTCACCTCTGTTCACCGCAGCTTATGGCAACATGGACATGGCCCTGCAGCTGATTACCATCTTGAAGAAAGTCTGCAACAGTCCATCGCTGCTGAAGTCAAAGAAGGACAGCGACGGTAAAGAGTCGGAGACAATAGAATCCATTCTCCCGCTGATTCCACCGCACATCCTGAACTCGCACGCTTCGAGCACCAAGCTGCGTCTGCTTGACAGCCTTGTGCATCGCCTGTACACCACTACAGAAGAAAAGATCGTCATCGTTTCGAACTACACGATGACTCTCGACATGATCGAGCGACTGTTGACTTCATTGTCGTACACCTATCTGCGCCTGGATGGAAGTACCCCAGCAAGCAAGCGACAAGGCCTCGTCGAGAAGTTCAACAAGACCTCCAAAGCCACAAATTTCGCCTTCCTCCTCTCCGCCAAATCCGGTGGTGTCGGTCTCAACCTCATCGGCGCATCACGCATCGTACTCTTTGACATCGACTGGAACCCCGCCACCGATTTGCAGGCCATGGCCCGCATCCACCGCGATGGTCAGAAGCTGCCCTGCAAAGTCTACAGGTTCCTTGTCCAAGGCGGTCTTGATGAGAAGATCTACCAGCGCCAAGTCATGAAAATGGGGCTCGCTAATGCTGTTGTTGATAACAAACAGTCCGCATCATCTTTCTCCAGAGATGAATTGCGCGATTTGTTCCGCTTGGACGATCGCGAGACATGTCAGACGCATGATCTGCTCGGTTGCACGTGTGACTGCACGGGTGCTCCCGAGGTCAGGCTTGAGGAATCTATCGATGTTGACGAAGATGATGACAGCGATGACGACAGGCCGCTTCTGCCTGGCTTGAAGAAGGCGAGCGAGGTTAATATTGAGGAGCAGGAGGCGGAGATTGAGAGTCGTCGGAAGGCGAAAATGCCGAAGCTGAGGATGCTGATGGAGTATCGACATATTGATGCGAAGCACCTGCGTGGAGATGGGGAAGATGGTGTGGACATGGAAGAGCTGGCCGTTGCGGTGGATGATGATGTGTTCCTTGAGACGTTGAAGCAGAGTGAGAGTAACGTCGGGTTCTTGTTGACGAAATCGAGTTCTTAGACGAGTGGTGACGGATGATGGGCTGCGAAGCATCGCATAGCGCCGGCGTTTTGAAATCATGAGCATGATGTGCGGCACGCAAACGGGCACGATGGACGACGGAAGCGAACGGAAGCATCATATGAGCGATATACCCTAGACATTAATGCATACATAAAGCTCCTCTTCCCAGGCTCAATACTATCCTCCATCTTTTGCGCCTAACACAATCACAAAATCTCGGTGCGATGCGACATGTCCGCTGGAAGCAGTGGCCGTGAGGTTCCCTTTTTTCTTTCAAGATAGCTTGATCTTGATGTCATGCTCCACCGTTTGAGTTTGTGTCGATTCAAAACCATCTGTGTTGGTCTCGTTCACCTCTTTCCGCCGTACGGATATCTCGTCGATCTCTAAGGGATTCGAAAACATCCCCATTGCATCCGAGTGCTGCGCCATCGCCCAAACTACACCCAACTCTCTGTTCACGTTGCAACCTACGTCTATGTTCTGGTATAAAGGTGAGCTCCTCGCATGCGCAGACTCGGAGCGACTCAAAATCTGAAGTGAAGGCCAGTATGTGCTGCACTTAAATCGTGCAACACCAATGTTCGATATGAAGCCCTCAGTCCCGGCATCTTACTGTGCTTGACCACCTCCTCATCTGCCGATATGTCCAAAGAAATCACACAAATGTTCGATGTGCGCGCCGCTTCGGTTGGCACCAAAGACGCAATGAAGCCTTCCTATATGCACCGATTGTCCTGTTGGCGGCATACCGTGTCCGTGCGCGTAATGCGCGGATTCGCGTAATGCGCCAAACCACCTTTTTGTACCCATACTTCACTGTACAATTACTCAACGCCACAATGACTATGAAATCTGCCTTTGAAGAGATAGACTCTATGATACCATGCGATAAGATCCCGTGGACAGCGCTGGCTAAAAAACATAAGGTTGTGCGCTCAACCCTGTCTCGAAAATATCGACACGAGACGCGATCGCGTGAAGAGAAGGCGATTGCACAACAAAAGCTCACTCCACAACAGGAGGACGAGCTTGTCAAGTATATAGAGGAGCTTACAGCTCGCCGTCTACCTCCTACAAGGGAAATGATAGCAAATTTCGCGTCGTCAATAGCCACAGAGCCAGTCAGC